GTACTTTAGGTTTCACTCAATTATTTTGTTTCTTTTGTTGGAAAAAAAGACCAAAGAATTTTTCCAACTTTAAAGTATTCGTTTGCTTATTGTTGTGTCAATAAACAGTAACTGATTACGGAGAGAGTTGCAAGAAGACATTAAAAAGCTTTATGCAAGAGTAAAACTAGCTGTCTGATTGAAACGAAAAGTAATGAAATATAAACATCTTTGAAAAAAAAAACTCGGCAGTTTTGAATAAACTAAAAATTGCCAGAAGAGCAACATTTTCTGTTCAGTTTGATAAACGTGACAGTACGCAACAATGACTCATTTATTAAAAATAGGGTATTAAATGTAATTATATTTCATAATTCGTTGATATAGAAATTTATTTGCAAATATCCATATAGCAATTGATGCAGTTAAACATTCTTTTTTAGAAGTCTATACCTTCGATCTAGAATTTGATGTTGACAGTGCCTATTCAAAGAATTTTATATCGTAAGAGACACATAATGTCGATATCTGGTCAATGTTCAAATCTATTCAATTCGCACAGTACTGTGGATAGATACTGTATCTTTTATCAAACAATTAAATGGATCTTTCTTTAGTGCTTCAACTTCCTTGCCGTCGATAATTTTATTCCAAAAGAAGTAATCTATTGATTCGTTGTCTATGATTTTTAATAACAATATTATTCACAATATTCAACCTTTTCTCAATAAAAACAACATTGGTTGAAGCTTTGCATATGCTTGGTCATACATTGCTTATAGAAGTCATACTTATCCAATACTTTGATAGTCTGATCAATTTTTACTTCCGAATTAGTTGTAAAATTGTGATTATATTCATCAGTTGATATGCACACAATTTATGTAAGTATATTTTATACAACATTAATATTTACGTATAACTATTAGCACTATTAAGGATGTTGGTTTAGTCATCAAATACGTATCAAATAAAAAGAAAAACAACAAAAAGAAAGAGGAATAAGGTTATATATTCTCATTAATTTGAAGTGTGTGCCACAACCTTTTTCGTTCTGAAATGCATTCATTATTAAGTACCGCTCGTCAATATTATCGGAAGAAAAATAGGAAGTATGTTTGGCAGCAATTTTTATGGTATTGCTTTAAAAATACAAGTTGGAATTTTTCGGAGAAAAAAAAACACACTAAAAGATTAGGTCCTCTTAGCAAACATGAAAGCATTTTTTTGCTATAGACAGTGCTCTGTTGACAGCACAAAAGTTTCTTGGAAATCGAAAGTAAACAGTTCGTGATTCGGCGAAAAACTTCGAGTGGATATTTTTTGTCATTTATATTCAATGTAATTCTTCAGAATTTTGATGTACCTGCTGGAAGGTTGTTTATCGATTTCGCTATTCGCTACATTCAATAATAAATATTCAAGGCAAAGTATTATTATCGAACCTATCTCAAGGTCTATTTTCATGATTTCGATTTTACTTGGCCCTTTAAAGTCCTCAAGTACCCTCCTTGCATAGACCTTGAAGAATCATAAGTATCTCTGGATAGCTCTTGAAGAATTATAGGTACTCTCCTGGATGGCCCTTGATGAGTCATAGGTATCTTCCTTGGATAGCCTTGAAAAGTTAGAAATAGCAATCCATAACTTACAAGGGATAGACGTATTAGAATTATTAGGAATGCTAAATTAATCCTAACACCAAGGCATTGATTAATTCTAATGCCAATAATGCTAAAGCATTAGACTTATTGATTCATGCTAATGATAATTCTAATGCGACACCCCTAGTCTTACTCTTTATAACATTATTCGACCTCTAACCCGGCACAGAGAAACACACAGACACTGAACAATATACATAGAGTAGCGAGAACCAGTGGATACTGCACGGCTGCTTTCTCCTTTAACGTATGACCTCAACCGTTTAACTTTTCATCCGGTCACAGACATACACATACTCGATATTATGTATATAGATAAATGGCCCTACGGCCTCATACTATTATATCGTACATATTTTTATAGTACATGTAGACTTCGCCCTTATAGCCGTATATCCCTTGTAGCTCTTGTAGTTTTATCCTCTTATTGCCTTACTCCCTTCAAGGTCTATGGATGGGTAACCTATAGAACAGCCCTTGGGGACATATGAGTTCCTTCATAGGATAGCGTTTGAGGACATATGAGTTCCCCATAGGATAGCCCTTGAGGATCTATGGATGCCCTCATAGGATAGTCCTTGCTGACCTATGGATATATTCATAGGATAGTCCTTGAGGGCGTATGGATATACTCATAGGATAGCCCTTGAGAACCTATGAGTTCCTATACAGTAGCCCTTGGGGACTCCCCTTATAGCCTTATTTAACCTTTAACCTTTGACCTCTGACCTTTGACCTGGTAACAGACAGACAACTGTGCTTTATTATAGTGGTATGGATAGATTACCTTATCCTTTATTACCTGCCCTCTTACTGCCTTACTCCCGTCAAGGCCTGTGGGTAGCCCTATATAACAGCCCTTGAGGACCTGTGGGTACCCCCATATGTTAGCCCTTGAGGACTCATGGATGTCCCCATATAATAGCCCTTGACTTCCTAAGGGTACCCCATTAAGCCCTTGGGACCCTTCTCCTTATAGTCTTATTTGACCTTTAATCTTTGACCTGGTACAGACAGACACTGAGCATTATATATATAGATGCTGAAAATGCATACGACATGAAGTTCAATTTCAATTGTCCCGGCTCTTAGGTACCTCCTTAGAACTTGAAAAGAACCTGGAAAGAATGGAGAGCATGGGTGTACACGTTGGTCTTCGATTACTCATTCACGTCGGCAGTCATACACCACACCCACACTTGCCCATACCCATATCTATAGTTGCATCTGATATCACTAAAGAATCGATAAAGAATTCGAGAAGTACTGGTTAAAATTAGAGAATAAATAATATAGGGTGAATAACATTTTCTTTTCCAAGAAGCTTATCATCTTATTCGTATCAGAGTATTAGATCAGCATACTTGAAGATAACTTGACTCTTCACTGAATGACGCAAATGAATCATAAAGTAATTAAAAAAAAACAGAAGTATAAAATAATTCAGCTTTTATTAATTCATATCAATAATTACGGCAGGGTCTACTAGAGTCTACCGAAATCGACTAGGATGTGGGTATTAATCACGGTAGGTATGAGCGAAGAGAAAACTAACATTTACACTAAATCCTTTACAAGTGTTGAACCTTTGATTGCGCTTAGTCATAGAAAAATGGTGGGTCTCCTGCTAGACTCGGTAATAAAAACTTGTCAAATGTTTGATCCAGTCACGAAGCATTTTCTTTTCATTATTTTGACTGGTCGAACTGTTTTGGAATTAGTTTAGCGATCGCTAGCAGAGATGGGACCGGTTCAGTTTTTAACCGAACCGAGCCAACCGACCGTAACCGAAATCGATTCGGTTGGAAAATTTTAAAAATTCGGTCGGTTACGTTCGGTTCGATTGTAAAGAACCGAAATCATTTTTTTAATTTGATTGCAGCAGATTTTCCGGCAAGATATAACAAAGTAAAAAAAAGAGCATGACCGCATTACAGTTAAGCCGACTGACTGCACGAAGTACAGGCAGTAGCCGACTTATTGCTTGCGACTCGCTTAGTTGCCATAGTAAATCCTTCTACTTCTCAACACATGAGTCACGATTCTAGTCAGTTCCGCATTCTTAGCACCCGAGCATAATTTAGAATCGGAAAAAAGTTTGACGAGATCGTAAGAACGCATAAGTGCACATCTGAAATCCGTTTCTTGGGATTCAGTGTAGTCTTGGAGATATTAAAGAAATCGAAAGTGATATTTAACAGCTGGTAGTTTCCTTATATGGCTATGGATAATTCAGTCTTACATGGCAATTCAGATCTAAGATGTTAAATGCATATATTTTTTCAATAATTATCGCCTTGTGAAATTTAATATAGTACATCATGAACTCTACAACGCATAGATACATTTTTCCTAATGGCGGTCAAACAATCGAAAGAAATATGCAGAAAAAAGATAATTAACAGCTGATGATGGTCATTTATATTCAAAAATGATTCAGTAGCAGAAAGCCAGCAAATTTAGGTGTCATTCTTATAAAATTCCTTGAGCTTTCATATCTATTATCATCGGTGGTAGCTTATCGCGTCTGCAGTCAGTCGACTTTTCAACTTGAGCTTGTCCAGTGTGGAATTCTAGCATTCAATTTGCTGTTCGTTTTCAATTTGATGTTGATGGTATTCAAGTGTTGTTGGTAATATTCAATTTGTTTTTGCAAATATTTAATTTGTTTTTGCTAATATTTAGTTTGTTGAGTAAGTATTTTCTTCTAACTGAACATTAGAAAAAAATTCGGTCGGTTACATTCGGTTCGCTTAGCGATTTTTTTGGTTACGATCGGCTCGATTGAAAATTTTTTAAAATTCGGTCGGTTACGTTCGGTTCGGTTAGCAATTTTTTCGGTTACGATTGGTTCGGTTAGAAAAAAATGCCAACCAATCCCATCTTTGGTCGCTAGTTCTGAATAGAACAGAGCAGAGCAGAACAATTTTCTTTTACAGAGAAATCAAACACTTGGATAGAAAGATACATAAGTACGGAGTAGTCGCATACATGACAAAATTTATTTTTAGAAACCACTTATAGAAAATTGTTATTATCGGGGAAAAAAATATCGTTATTGACAAAAAGGAAAAAAACGGAAGCGCAGACCCACCTTACATGCTGTATGTATTCTTGAGAGTGAAGGAAGTAAATACATTTTTATGTTTATTGCGTTTTTTTTTCAAGCTGAGTCACAAAATAAATGTATTTCTTCCTCACCAAGCGGCATATTTTGGTTCGCTATCATTTCCGTTGTGAATTATAAAAATGACAGGTGTTGACCTTGATGATTGATTGAATTAAAAATAGTCTGTTTAAATATTGACTTTTAGATTTATTTTGATTGCCTCCATCCTTCATTTCATTCGCATCATTATGACAGTAGGTTCTCTAGAATACCGAAAAAGATAATGAGGAATGACTTCTTTTTCAAGAAATGGCTAGCTAATAAAGGATATGATGCTAAAAACATATTTTCTCTCGATGAAAAATACAAGTGTCTAATCTGTGGATTTATACTTCGTGATCCTGTTCAAATAACTTGTGGTCATCGAATATGCTATGCATGTCTTCATGTTGAAAATAAGTAGGAAAGCAATATTACTATTTGGTTGTAGTGAATTCTTATGCCTAGTATTGTTCGATGTCCCGAATGCTCGGAAATAACATTGACATCAAAGGTAAATCAAATAGTTTTGTTGTTCATTAATTTAGCTAGTCGAATTCAATGATTTAATACTGAAGATCAGACTTGATAAAGGATTCGATAACGAAATACAAACATTGATTATCGTCTGCATTTTATGCGAATGGTCAGGTCATTTGAAAAACTATCAAGTATTTATGTTGTGTTTTGTTCTTCAATAGGTTAACTTTTATTTATTTATTTTTCTATAAAGAATCATCTTGAACAATTACATAACCAATATAGATGTTTGTACTGCAATGAAATATTCACGTCATTAACATTAATGAATCAACATAAAGAAACTACATGTCCACAAATGATGGTGAATTGTAACCTGCAATCATACGGCTGTAACGAATTGGTATGTGATATAGAATACTTATCGTTAGCTTTGTATCTTTAGAATAGGTGCTGCGCTGTAATCTATCGGAACATTACCTCAGTGAAATGCATCAAAAAACTCTTGTACTATATGCTTTGCAACTCGTGTCAAAATTAACTGAAGAAAATCAAAAGATAGCATGCTCTGACATGCATGATGAACGGAAAATAATTGATCTTCCATCTAAAGTAACTACTGCTCTATCAACAACTTTAGTAACTGATGAATATAATGCCCAACAAGAATATATCAATGAAATGGTGAATACGTTATCAGATGGCATTGTAACATTAAATGATGACATACAGCGACTGAGTAGTGAATCATTGCAACAGTCTCAATTAATAGAGATGACTAGTCAAAGTTTAATACAGTTAAAAACATCATGTGAAGAATCAAATGTTGGTCTAAATGCATTTAATACTAATATGAGCATCCTTCAACAGGATTACTTTTCTTTAAAACATAAAATCGAAGAGACACAATCAATTTCTTATGATGGAATATTAATATGGAAAATTACCAATATTCAGGAGAAAATGAGTACATATTCAGATATTTTTTATTATTTTGATCCAATGCATATAATTGTTGTAGCCTTTAGTTTCAATAATAGATGAAATACATTTTAGATAATTGTAGATTTTTTAAAAAGATAAAAAAAAGTAAATATCATTTTTCAAACTGAAGAAATTTCAATATTGCTCATTTAAAAACTGAATACAATATAGAGTAGAATTTATTATATTTTAATAGAACTATCTATTTTTAGTTGATGCTCAATCTGAACGTCAAGTGTCTATTTATTCACCACCGTTTTATTCTTCGCTGACAGGGTACAAAATGTGTGCTCGTCTTTATTTGTATGGCGATGGAAATGCGCGTCGTACTCATATATCTCTCTTTTTCGTTTTAATGCGAGGTTTACATGATTCATTGCTTAAGTTTCCTTTCACTCACAAAGTTACATTTTGTTTATTTGATCAAACTGGCGAACAACAACATATCATTGATTCATTTCGTCCTGATCCAAAGTCAAGTAGTTTTCAAAAACCACGTTGTGATATGAATATTGCAAGTGGAATTCCAAAATTCGTCTCGTTAGACAAAATTCAACAGCAAAATAATCGATATATTAAAGAGAATACCATGTTCATCAAAGTGATGGTAGATTTTGAAAATTTGCCCAAGACAATGATACCTTTTGCCGTAGGTTTAAATCCGGGTCTACCAACATATTGTCAACAACGAATGATACAACAAGAAATAGAACGAAGGGTACAATTGCAATCTCAAAAAAAATTGACAAGTAATGCAGTGACTACCAATAGCAATTTGTCGATAAGCAATCAATAATAATTTGATGGCAGTAATAAAATGAAGAAATAATTGAAATTGTACAAATGGCAGATCAAAATAATAAAAAAAACAATCATTGAAACTCATACATATTATATTCGAAACTAATTATTGTTCTTTTGGTCGATTTGAGTTACTCATGAGAATATATCAAATATGAAATTTTATTATTTATTCCTATCATTGTAAGCTATAAACAAGAAAAAAACTTTCTACACGTGCATACATACCAAGGTGAGATAAGAAAATGGAAGGCAAATGAAAAAAAGAGACGCGCGACTATGTAATAACCAAGTAGAAGAAAAATATAAAGAATCAATGTCATTCATTACTCATTCTGCCTTTCCCCTCCTCAAGCTGCATGCTCCTCTACTTGGCAAAGTATATAAGATGGATGACGTAAAATTATGCAAATAAGAAAAGTTCATTAACAAAAGAAAAATGTTTTACATGAAAGTCGACTCATGGAGAACTTATCATAGTTAACCACTTAATACTGAATGATGATACAGGAAGCGATGCGATTGTGTGTGTGTGTTTTGATTGTTATCGATGCCCATAATCAGGAAAAAATCCAATTAACAACATGTGAAATGCATTGAAAAGATTAGCAAGGATGATTGTTTTTATTAATACTGAGCATTGATTTCTGACTCGTTTGCTTTGTTGAGTATCGTAAAATAAAGAGTAGAGAAAGAATAATGATATCTAAGAAGTATCCGTAAAATCAACATGCCGATCTTAAAATTATACACAAAATCAATCATGAGAAATATGAAACATTGAGGAAGACGATGGATAAATTAAATAATAATGCATAGTTTCACTATCAAAAGTGTAAGACTTTGTTCAAAGTTATATAGCAATAAACTTTAGTGATAAGGAAGAAGAACAAAACTCAGATGAATTCAACAAAAACCAATTCTTGATTTCAATAATAAAGTATTATCATATCGATAATGTCTGCGATAAATCATTTTGACAAAAAATAAAAATAAATGAACACCATTATCACATTCTATTCATCAGAGTATTTATAACTAATATATTGCCGATAAAATTTCTTTATCGAGAACGACATTTGTAGATTAGATAAATTATAAAAGAACGAAATTCCTTTTTAAAATGAAAAAAAAACTGGATGAAGTACAGTGAGAATATCGAAGATGTGCAAAGATATATCGGCGTTATTATCTACTCTTTATTGTAATATGCCTCTAATGCATAATAAATACGAAGAGTGAGAAAGGGAAGATAGATAAGCAAAAATAATTCTTCAAGACAATATGACTATAACTTTTTATAGTTACGATATCTATCAAAATTATTCAACAACGTTAATTTTCAACTGTCTGGTTAGCAAATTACCAACGATGAAGACATCATAGCAAATGATTTTCTGCAACAATTTCTAGCTGAGATACAACAATGATACGGATAAATCTAACGTAGGTTTTTAATCGTTTTTGGCATTAAAGACAGGCGAAAACAGTTCAAAATAAGCCTTATTGAATAATTTTGATAGTCACTGTGTATATTATATCTATTAGAAATACTAAGACCGATAATAGTTTCTCAAAATATTAATAGTATCATATTTTACTGTTTTTTTATTTTAGAAGATTTATCAAGAACAGAATGAAAGATGTACCCAATCGTTGTATTTTATAACTATCAATGGTTGTGGTATGTACACTTATATTCTGATACTAGCAAATCTGAGGATAGTCTTCGTTATGATTTAAAATTGAGTAAATAAAATTCAAAATGTATGATTAAGTACATATTTTTTCGTCTAGTTTACAATGGAATCTAAATCTGGATCGGCCTTTTTGAAAACATATTACCTACAGGTATAAGTGAACATTTTGTTGACAAAAATAATTATGTATTAAATTTCGGTATATATTGTGAAAATACTTGTTCAGACAAAAACAATTGAATTTATTTTTAGGAAAATATATTTAGAATTAAGAATAACTCAATCGTACCTTCAATTACGCTGGAGCTCCATTTTGCAAGTCTGATTTGAAGCTGACCTTTAAAATAGTCGAGTTTGAAACTTTTCAAAACAATAAAAAATCATCTACCAGTCATTCAGTAACTGAAAATGGATGAAAATGAATTTATTATTTATTTCATTTTTGTTTTTAATTACTAGAAATCAATACAAAGCTGATGTAATCTTGCCTAAGTATCCGTTTGTAATATCTATTTTCATGATCAGAGCAAAAAACAAAAAATCAGTTAGATTTAAGAGACCTTCGAGAAAATTCGATCACAATATTTAGAACTTGTAGTACCTTTGTTGTCGACATAGGTTTCATCAAGTTTTTCTTTGAAGAATCATGACTATGCATGAGTTTCGTACAATCATGTTTCAGATTTCAAATATGATGATCACTAATAGAAAAAACACGATATGGATCGTATCTTGTTTTTTTACAAATCCTGATTTTGGCCATACGAGGACAATTAAATATATAAAGATAGTTACAGAAAAAAAAACAGAAAGCTATAATCAACAATTAGTGGAAAAGTTATGGATGTCAAACGATTTGGCACGATAAATTTCTCGTTCTCAACATTGTCTACATATTCGCCCATGTATTGATGAGGAATCGCTCACTTTCGTGACCTCTCATATTATGTACCAACAATCTGAGGCTGCCATCACAGGATCTGGTCTTATATGTATTTCATCTATTAAATAAAAACAGAATATTATAATTAAACAAGGTCCAATAGGACAATGACTAAGACCTTAGCAACAAAAACAAACAAATTGAGAGAAAATTCATTTTTCTAATTGATTCCATCAAAGTATAGGAACCCAGTGATTAATTTGCAAATGATGCGACCCAACCTATGAATTCATGAACCTAATATCTTAAAGATGCGCTATCTTTACTCATTCATCTGATTATGCGTCGGATGTGGATTATATTTCACTGGAGGCAAAACATCAATCTAGTGGCATTTCAGGTTCAAACCATAATTATAGGGTATAGGCACTTTCGATGATAATCTTACTTATTCATCTGTTCATTTAAACGTAGCATTCATTCTTCTGGAATCAAAACTCATCGATGTGCTATTCAATAACCACGATGAATACATTTCCATCATTCCACTTGATTACACGGAGTCGACATAGATTCAAAATGTAATAAAAAGCTTGTCCCATTATTTAAAATTCAGTAATTCAAAAGATGCTTATTTGTAGCAATACTTATTGTACATTCGACTAATGCTGTGTTGATTGGCAATGTGAAAGAAACCACGTATTTCTGTTTTAGATCAAATCACAAGAAAAAAAAAGATAAAAGATCAAAAGACAACGTGGTTAAAAAACACTACAATTAAACTTCTTGTATAATATGACTTGGAAACAGAGTGAGAGCGGTTGAAGACAAGCCAGAAACATCCACGAACATTCGCACCTACACCCATATCCTCATGTCCAGTATCAGGAAAGTCAGTTTAGAAGTAGTTCATGTCATCAAAAGAAATTAGAATTGTATTTGATTTTGTTCAAGAGCTTTACCAAAATGTTCTTTTACTTGATCATCGATTTCATTGCCACGAAGGTGTCGTGTAGTTAGTGTCTGTTTTGAACCGGTACTGAACAATACATAGATAAAGTCGGGATATTACTTGGTTTTGTTCGTGAGCCTTGGTAAGATGCTATGCTCCTTGATCGCTGATTTTATTCGAAACAAGGTCCAGTGTGCTTAGTGTCTATGTGTGGAAATAAGAAAGTTGAAATTATTGAAAGAGTTCACGAAGGGATATCATAATGGGATCTATAATTGGTTATGATTGCTTTAATTAGTAAATTTTTGACTTAGTTCATCCACATCGGAATGATTTTTTTTGAGAGAAGAAAGACTGGAAAATACCAGCAAGTATATAAACTTTTGTAGAGCATGTAAACTGTCTTCAAATTATGATGAAATTCATGATACGAATTTTAAAGCTTTGGAAAAAGTAGTGAAGTCCAGTGTAGACGGAAAAATTCTGAAACAATAAACCCTAATGCTCGTCAATGTTTGACGTAGAAGAACGAAAGTTTCTCATCGATGGGAAAAGCTATTCGCACTCTCATGCTCGGTAGACCGTTGGACTCCTTCTTTTGTTTCTTAAACGTTGTTAGAGTTGCGTTTGTTGTTTTAGTTAATGTCCAATGGAAAGAAACGGCTCATACATCGCTCTGTATCAGTAATGTGATAGTGTTATAAAGACATTGTTCCTGCAAAAGATTGATCTTAGCAGTGTTTTCGTTACTTCGATTTCAATGATGATCTTTGAAATGTAGCTTTTGAGTATGATTACCTTCGGATTCTTTAAATTATCGTCATCTCAACGAATGGTACTTATTTTCGTGACTATTGGATTATTACTAATGGCGTTTTTTTAGTTAACTTCAACTATTGTCAGTGGTCAATTACCGTTTTTGATGGGTACTTTAAGTATAAGTAGTTTCAAACAATCGTAAAAATTATTCGATTTGATATAATAATGAATGGTTAGTCAAAAAAATACTGTAATGAGACTGTATATAGATTGCTATCTTAGATAAATGAATTATATGTTAAAGATGATGAAAGTCAAGTTTTCAGATATAATAGTGTTTTTCTTGATATCGATTGTAGCTGTCGACAATTGCATGCATACGTGTACAAACGTTTCACATCGAACATAAAATATCGAAATCATTAAGCTTATCAAGAATTTGATAGACAATTTCTAACCTATTAAAATGGCTTCTCACCAAAGTAAAATTAGGAATTCTTTCATATCGTAACTATGTGTTTGTTTTAATGCTTTCAAATTGGATATAAATTTCGAGTAGCTATATTAGTTTTGATTAGAAAAAATTCAAGTCAAACGGATGTAATCTTTCTGAGTTATTAAAATTTCTAAATACGTTGAAATTAACGCTAAATGCTATTTTGATAACAAGCCATTTTTAATAGTTTGAAAAAAGAATCAAA